CTGATGTTCTGTGGTCCTAACTCTACAAATTTGAGTCCCCATAGTAGAGGCACATGTATTTAATGGATAGACCTAGGACAGGTGCTCATCAGGGAGCCCACCCCTCTTAAAGGAGGCACAGGAGCGCAAAGTACACCCAGCATATAGCACAATGGCAGCCAGGGTGCCCAGTGCACCCACTCACCTAAAAACCCGTTTTTAAACGCATACTGTTAGACAGGTTAATTTGGTTGTTGGCAAGCGTTGCCCGGTTCACGTAGTCCTTGCTTCATAAGCCGGTTATAGACCTGGGCAGGTGCCATGTTTTCCTTTACTGTTAGTTTTTAGGTGAGTGGGTGCACTGGGCACCCTGGCTGCCACTGTGCTATATGCTGGGTGTTCTTTGCGCTCCTGTGCCTTTAAGAGGGGTGCACAGCTGGCCTACATTGTAGCAGTAAAGCTACAGTGCATAGTCAGCAAGCAGTTAATGAATGACCTGATTTTACCTAATGCAGGTGTACTAATATGTGAGTGCTTTTGTCATGAAAAATGCAAAACACACTATTTAGGCAGGAGATCCATAAGAAGAAAAGCAGAAATCTGCCAATGAAGAATGTTAGGACCAGGTCACAGACATTTTAAGGTTAAAAAAAATAAAATTAAATGCTCAAATACAACTTTAACCTCTTCATGACGAGGGTCAAAGCAAATGTTAACACCCAAGCCCAATTTTGCCAACGTTGACACGTGTTAGTAGAACTGAACATATAGTCAGGTCCATAAATATTGGGACATCAACACAATTCTAACATTTTTGGATCTTTACACCAGCACAATGAATTTGAAATGAAACAAACAAGATGTGCTTTAACTGCAGACTGCCAGCTTTAATTTGAGGGTATTTACATCCAAATCAGGTGAACGGTGTAGGAATTACAACAGTTTGCATATGTGCCTCCTACTTGTTAAGGGACCAAAAGTAATGGGACAGAATAATCATAAATCAAACTTTCACTTTTTAATACCTGGTTGCAAATCCTTTGCAGTCAATTACAGCCTGAAGTCTGGAACGCATAGACATCACCAGACGCTGGGTTTCATCACTGGTGATGCTCTGCCAGGCCTCTACTGCAACTGTCTTCAGTTCCTGCTTGTTCTTGGGGCATTTTCCCTTCAGTTTTGTCTTCAGCAAGTGAAATGCATGCTCAATCAGATTCAGGTCAGGTGATTGACTTGGCCATTGCATAACATTCCACTTCTTTCCCTTAAACTCTTTGGTTGCTTTTGCAGTATGCTTTGGGTCATTGTCCATCTGCACTGTGAAGCAGCATCCAATGAGTTCTGAAGCATTTGGCTGAATATGAGCAGATAATATTGCCTGAAACACTTCAGAATTCATCCTGCTGCTTTTGTCAGCAGTCACATCATCAATAAATACAAGAGAACCAGTTCCATTGGCAGCCATACATGCCCATGCCATGACACTACCACCACCATGCTTCACTGATGAGGTGGTATGCTTAAGATCATGAGCAGTTCCTTTCCTTCTCCATACTCTTCTCTTCCCATCGCTCTGGTACAAGTTGATCTTGGTCTCATCTGTCCATAGGATGTTGTTCCAGAACTGTGAAGGCTTTTTTAGATGTCGTTTGGCAAACTCTAATCTGGCCTTCCTGTTTTTGAGGCTCACCAATGGTTTACATCTTGTGGTGAACCCTCTGTATTCACTCTGGTGAAGTCTTCTCTTGATTGTTGACTTTGACACACATACACCTACCTCCTGGAGAGTGGTCTTGATCTGGCCAACTGTTGTGAAGGGTGTTTTCTTCACCAGGGAAAGAATTCTTCGGTCATCCACCACAGTTGTTTTCTGTGGTCTTCCGGGTCTTTTGGTGTTGCTGAGCTCACCGGAATGTTCCTTCTTTTTAAGAATGTTCCTAACAGTTGTTTTTGCTATCTCACTGATGGGATTGTTTTGTTTTTTCAGCCTAATGATGGCTTACTTCACTGATAGTGACAGCTCTTTGGATCTCATCTTGAGAGTTGACAGCAACAGATTCCAAATGCAAATAGCACACTTGAAATGAACTCTGGACCTTTTATCTGCTCATTGTAATTGGGATAATGAGGGAATAACACACCTGGCCATGGAACAGCTGAGAAGCCAACTGTCCCATTACTTTTGGTCCCTTAACAAGTGGGAGGCACATATGCAAACTGTTGTAATTCCTACACCGTTCACCTGATTTAGATGTAAATACCCTCCAATTAAATCACATCTTGTTTGTTTCATTTCAAATCCATTGTGGTGGTGTATAGAGCCAAAAATATTAGAATTGTGTCGCTGTGCCAATATTTATGGACCTGACTGTATCACCACAACTACTTAGTGTATCAAGGTGGAGTAGAACCCCCCCCTAAAATTTACCTGTATGTTTTTATGCCATTATCAACCAACACCAAAAAGGTCTTCAAAATAAATTTTGCAACTCCTGACAATCGCAGCAATGCCACATACGCGTGTGTGTAATTTGTCCTTTGTGCCCACAGTAGGACCAGGAAACAATAGTATGTATTTTATGTTGTTTTTTTTTTCCCTAACTTAAACACACTGACAGTAACACGGACATTGCAGCTAAATAAAAAAACTTTTCTTTTTCTTACTCAAAAAAGACCCCCACTAACTTCCACTTGCACAGCCACTGACACAGACACTTATGCTGCTACTAAATTGACAATTACTGCCATTAAAGAGTAACGCCATTTTTGTAGATGAAAATAGCAAAAAAAAATATATACATATTATACAATTATGACACAAGTTATATTTTAATTGTTATTAAAAATTCCTTTTCAATCTGCAGCACTATATAAATTTTCTGTAAAATGCTATGCAACATGGCAACCTGGAGGAGCTCTGTATACAGATGGTGTACAGAACTCCCCCAGAAACATCATTTCTTGCTTGTGGGATTGGCTTCCCAGAAGTGTTCACTAAGATACAAGTCAGATTTTAAACATCACCTGCAACAAAAGTTTCATTTTTTGAGATACAGCCAAAGGGAAGTCACATTTAAAAGGATGCAGACGCAGCTCTGCAGATGCAGCAGTTTATTGATAATTTTGAAATCACTCCCATACAGATTCACTCTGCACATGGACACAAACAGCTTTTTTTTTTTTCAGAGCACCACAATGTAGGACTCTGCATCAAAATTTATTTGAATCCCTGCAATGTACCTAGGTCACCAAGAGGGGAAGGTTTTTTTGTCAACAAATATGGACTTACATTGTCACAAACACCTACACTCACACTAACTACACTAGATCAAGCCCTGAACGAATTAATCTTTGGGGTTTTTTTTTTCTTAAACATATATTTTTGCAGACATGTCCTCTAGGATGCAATGCATCTTCTCTTCAATATGAAGGAAAGTGTGTTTATCCTCTTCAAGGGAAAAACACAGGGGCAGGCTTCAGACTAAATGATCACTGTGATAGCCAATCAGGCTATTGCAGCGATCATGTGATTGAGGTCCCCCTGGGTCCCGATCATTAGGAGAGACCTGGAGCTCAGTGCTGGGAGCATGCAATCAAGTGTGCTCCCAGCACAGAAACTGCAATACATATATGTGGCACCAAGGTTTGAAGTCCACTTCCTGGACGTCACATATATATGGTCGTAAAAGGGGGAAGTTAAAAAGAATAGAAAAAAAAAAAAATAAAATACACATACACATACACACACACACGTATTTTTCGCTCCATAAGACGCACCTAGGTTTTAGAGGTAGAAAACAGGAAAAAAAAAAATTCTGAACTAATGGACTGCAGACATAGTACAGGAGATGACCAGAGACTGCGGACAGCACAGGAGATGACCAGAGACTGCGGACAGCACAGGAGATGACCAGAGACTGCGGACAGCACAGGAGATGACCAGAGACTGCGGACAGCACAGGAGATGACCAGAGACTGCGGACAGCACAGGAGATGACCAGAGACTGCGGACAGCACAGGAGATGACCAGAGACTGCGGACAGCACAGGAGATGACCAGAGACTGCGGACAGCACAGGAGATGACCAGAGACTGCGGACAGCACAGGAGATGACCAGAGACTGCGGACAGCACAGGAGATGACCAGAGACTGCGGACAGCACAGGAGATGACCAGAGACTGCGGACAGCACAGGAGATGACCAGAGACTGCGGACAGCACAGGAGATGACTGCTGACCTTTGGGGAGGGGGGGGGGGGGGGGGGGGGGAGCGGGTACCTGAATTTGGCAGGTACCCGCTCTTACTTCCGTGGAGTTGTTCTTTGATCTTACCTGTTCCTCTATCCAGCCGCCCGCTGTCTTCCCGGCTTCTTTAGTGTCGGGTCGGCGCTCGGCATGACAGCCGGGTGCCCAGTGCGCATGGGCGAGAAGCACTTGCGCTTTGTGATTGGTCCGGCGGCTTCTGGGATCTGTCATGTGTCCCAGGTACCGCCTTACCATTCACAAAAAGCACCGCTTCTTGCGCGTGCGCACTTGGCACCCGGCTGTCAAGCCCAGCGCCCACACTACAGAAGCTGGGAAGACAGCGCGCCACTTGATAGAAAAACAGGTAAGATCAAAGAACAACTCCGCGGAAGTAAGAGTGGGTACCTGTCAAATTCAGGTACCCGCTCCCCACAGGTCAGCAGTCATCTCCATAAGGTCCCGCTGCAGAGCTGAGCGGCTGGCCCGGTATTCTGACACGGCGGCGGTGGAAATACCGGACCGGCCGCTCGATATTCGCTCCATAAGACGCACTGACATCCCCCCCCCCCCCCTTTTTTTGGGGGGAAAAAAAGTGCGTCTTATGGAGCGAAAAATACGGTGTATATATATATATATTTTTATAATCACACAGACACTTGAATAAAAAGGACAGTGCAGAGTTTCATGTTTTTCCTAGTATTTATTAAAGCAGTTATTTACATAATTAAACGGTCAAGGTTGTCTGGAATGATACATAGAAACCATAATTGCAGAGCTTTATTTCATATATTTTCCCAAAATGTCACCATCTCTGAACAAGTAGTATTCCTGTGTAAAAAAAAAAAAAATTGTTATCAGTACAGCTAATTAGGTCATGAGTACAAATGATGGAAAGACTTTATAATTTGTGTTACATACTTTATCATCTAGCACAACTTTGGTGCCACCATATTCAGGAAGTAATACTTTTTCACCAACAGCTACACTGACTGGATAAACTTCCCCACGCTAAAAAAAACAAAAAAAAAAAAGTTAGTGTATACACACTAATTCTAAGCATAATTACATACAAATGATTATACAGAACAGGGTAAAACTCTGAGCAGTCCTAGAGAACTTTACATTTTTACTGAACAGAACAGTTTTGACAACCCTAAAGCTCACCATACCCGATTCAAGTTCAGTATTATAATGACCGATCTAAAAATGGAAGTAAAGGCTACATAAACAGTACTGTGCAAAAGTTTTAGGCAGGTGTAAAGAAATGCTATAAAGTATGAATGCTTTAAAAAATATTTTAAATAGTTTATTTTTTTTATCAATTTACAAAATGCAAAAGTGAGCGAACAGAAAGGTTTGGCTTCAAACCAGAATCAACTCTTACACTTCTTAAAAAGTAAAAAAACTCAGTGATTTTTTTAGGGTTAGAGTCAAGTGTATGATTAACCAATCATACCAAGCAGGTGCTAAATGATCACCAAATTCATATATAGTTGTGCTCAAAAGTTTGCATACCCTGGCAGAAATTGTGATTTTGGTATTGATATTGAAAATATGTCTGATCATGCCAAAAAATGCTCTTTTATTAAAGGATGATGAACATTTGAAGCCATTTATTATCAAATAGTTGTTTGGCTCCTTTTTAAATCATAATAACAGAAATCACCCAAATGGCCATGATCAACAGTTTACACACCCTGGAATGTTTGGCCTTGGTACAGACACACACAGGTGACACACACGGGTTAAAATGCCAATTAGAGGTTAATGTCCCACATCTGTGGCTTTTTAAATTGCAACTAGTGTCAGTGTATAAATAGTCAATGAGTTTGTTAGCTCTTACATGGAAGCACTGACTAGGCTAGATACTGAGCCATGGGGATCAAAAAAAGAACGGTCAAAAGTCCTGTGGAACAAGGTAATGGAACTTTATAAAGATGGAAAAGACAAAAAACGATGTCCAAAGCCTTGAATATGTACTGTTGAATATGTGAATATCAGTACTGTTAAATCACCTATTAAGAAGTGGAAAGTTTACGGATCTCTTGATACCAAGCCAAGGTCAGGTAGACCAAGAAAGATTGCAGCCAAAACTGACAGAATTGTCTGGGATTCAAAGAAAAAACCACAGGTAACCTCAAAAGAAATACAGTCTGCTCTGGAAAAAGATGGTGTGGTTGTTTTTAAAGGAGTACAATATGGTGATACTTGAACAAAAATGAGCTGTTTGGTCGAGGTGCCAGAAGAAAGATTTTACTGAACCAATGCCACAAAAGAAGCCCAGTTACAATATGCCTGACAACACCTTGACATGCCTAACCAGGTCTATTTGTGTCATTGATGCAGTAAAGGCTTCTTTCTGGCACCTTGACCATGCAGCTCATTTTTGTTCAAGTGTCAACATATTGTGCTCCTTCAAAACAAGCACACTGTCTTTTTCCAGAGCAGCCTGTATTTTTCTTGTGGTTACCTATGGGTTTCCCTTTATATCCTGAACAATTATTCTGGCACCTGTGGCTGCAATCTTTCTTGATCTAATATACAACTATGGTATCCCAAACAAACTAAAAAAAAATTTTTTAAATAAAATCTGAAGGCATGGGAATAAGGTACATTTTATATAGTGCAAATGTAAGCATTCATTAAAGTATTATTATTTTAAGAATCCCATACGGAATTACACTATATCCTTTTTTTTATATACGGTCTACATATCTGTTGGAGCATGGGTACTATGAGTACTATGGAGTACTTCCTAAAGAGCCATGATGACATATAGGAGAAGGTTGCTGATGACATCATAAAAGTGCAACTCAGGCTTGGAAGGATTTCGTTGGAGCTTGGTGTACACCTCCCTGCATTATTAAGGCGTTTGATTGTTGTTTCGGTAAGGGTATTTATGCCTTACACTTTAGATGTCTACACTTAAAATGGTCACTTGGATAATGTTACTCACAGAGTGACGCAAAATCACAGTTGCTACACTGTGTTCACTTTACACTCTGATACCACGTTTGATTTGTTTTTTGAAGTTGCACAGTGCATAAAGTTCTTATTGGTATTAATTGTTTATTTATAAAGTTAATTCACTGAGTTTTTTTTTGTTTTTTTTTTTCTTTAGGTTCGCATTTCCTTTGGGAGCCAATAGGAAGGCTCGTCAAAGATCTGGATAATTTTCCTTATTGGAGTTTGGAATGACTTACTTTTTGGACACTAGTGAATGGTTTTTTAGGATTATTTTTACCTATAATTTGGATGATTTTTATATTAATATATTTTATTTCACATTGATAGTTGTATTTGGATCAGCATATTGGGGTATTATTGTATGCAATCTTTCTTGGTCTACCTGTATTTGGCTTGGTATCAAGAGGTCCCAGAATTTTCTACTTCTTAGGGGAAGTGATGACTGGCATATTCAAAGCTTTGGACATCTTTTTATGTCCTTTTCCATCTTTATAAAGTTCCATTACATTGTTACGCAGGACTTTTGACAGTTCTTTTTTGATCTCCATGGCTCAGTATCTAGCCTAGTCAGTGCTTCTACGTACGAGCTAACAAACTCATTGACTATTTATACACTTGACACCAATTGCAATTTAAAAAGGCACAGATGTGGGACATTAAGCTCTAATTGGCATTTTAACCCGTGTGTCACCTTGTGTGTCTGTACCAAGGCCAAACATTCGAGGGTGTGTTAACTTTTGATCATGGCCATTTTGGTGATTTCTGTTATTATGATTTAAAAAGGAGCCAAACAACTATTTGATAATAAATGGCTTCATATGATCATCAACCTTCAATAAAAGAGCATTTTTTGGCATAATCAGTCATTATTTTAATATCAATGCCAAAATGTCACAATTTCTGCCAGGGTATGCAAACTTTTGAGCACTGTATAGGTTAAAACAGTGTCATTTAAACTGAAACAAAACAGCCGTGTAGGAGGCTTAAAACTGGGTGAGAAACAGCCAAACTCTGCTACTAAAGTGAGGTTGTGGAAGACCGTTTCATATCACAGGTTTTACACCATGGGCAAGACAAAAAGGGGGTTGATCTACTAAACCTGGAAAGTGCAAAATCTGGTTCAGCTTTGCGTAGAAACCAATTAGCTTCCATTTTCTTTGTCAAAGCTTAATTAAACAAGCTGAAGTTAGAAGTGGATTGGCTACCATGCACAGCTACACCAGATTTTGCACACTCCAGTTTAAGTAAATCAACCCCAAGGTAGTTGTATTGCATCAGCATACTACAGTGATGAGCTTATCTCTCCCTATCATGATTCTTGTCTGCACATGAACTGACTGGCTCATTATTCCTCTGATACACCAGTTCTGCTATACAGGAGACTGCAAGCAGCTGATACCAGGTAGTACCAATGTCTGGTGCTACCTGCTTTTAGAAAAATACATTTGTTATTTTAAAATGATTACAAAGATGCATTTACTTGGGCCTTTTATAAAACTGCCTAGAGTTCAGCTTTAAGGGCTCTGTCCCCCCAGATACTCTGCCATGTGTGTTTTGTTGCATTTTCCACTGCATTTGAAATGCATGGAGATAAACCCATTCCCTTTACCTCACTGTGTTGCCCTGAGGCAAGCGTCTACCATGCAGAGCCTTCTTTTACCGTTGGCATTTCTAATGGGACATGCGGCTGCACATACACAGCCGCTGTGTCTTAACATGAGTGTGTGTGCGGGACCCTGAATGCATACAGGGTGCTGTATGCATTTCAATAGGCTGCCCTACATGCGAAAAATCAAACAAAAGAAACACAACCCTTTTCTTCTTCATCACTATGCATTTTGGTGCACATAAGCAATGAAGGGCACCCCTGCGCACTTGCAGCATTTCTGTGTGTTGCAGGAAATGTGCACAATTTTGTGTGCATTGCCACAATGCATAATGTGCGACAAGGATAAGACAAGGATAAGACAAGGCCTCAGTTTTATATATAACAGTAATACCTATTGGCTTGCTGATACACACATGAACTCTGACAGAAAAAAAAAAAAGAGAGAATTTGAGAGTCATTTTAAATTTTGTTTGTTTTACCTGCCCCCTAGAGCCTTCTCCAACTGCTACTACTGTTGCTTGCAAAACTTTGCCTTGAGCTTTTTCAGGAAGCATAATTCCTCCTTTGGTGACAGTTTCTTGACACAAAGACGCTCAACAAGGACACGATCAAATAAAGGGAGAAAGGTTTTAAATGCTTTTCCTGCCTGTTGATCAGAAATAAAGTGGGAAAAGAAAAAAGATCTTTAGATGGTAAGAGTACACATAGAAACAATGAGAGACATTTTATTTAAAGATAAGTTCCAGGCATGGTATATTTTTGTATTGGTCTAGACACCGCTATTTCATTGATCTCCACTTACTTTCAGGGGTGTGCAGGGCAGATGGCCTGATGCATTGTGACTACAAGGTCAGCCACTCAGCACGGGTGCCATTCAAGGAAAGTCCTGCATTTTCTGAGTGAATGCAAAGCATTCTCTGATCAGATGAGGTGGAGTATATGACAACACAGTCATTTGGGCTGGCCAATCAGATGGCTGAAGGTCATGAACCTGGAAGATCAGGTAAAGAGGTCAGCTGTGACAACGCTGGATATTGTGACTGTTGAATTGCCAGAGGGGTCCCTTTGCTAGGTAATTCTGCCACAGAGTACAAAAATACGGTGTATACTCACACATTATAACCCTGCACATCGGCAGTGGAGTTTAATTCTGATTTCATGGATCTGAGTAACCAGACATGCTGAGAAAGTACAACATGCACAGGTCAGTGTATATCTAGGAGAAACATTGCTGGTAGGCAAAGAGTCTCCTCTGAGATAGACAAACGAAACCAGCGCTCCAATCTTCATGCAAACCAAGGAATTGCCAAAATGCCAATCGAAGAGGTGCTGCCCTTCTGAGATCGGGAAATCTGATAACTGGTAAATGAAAACAAACAAGGGCGCACTCTCATCGTGCATTACCGTGGTATACCACGTAATTTATTAAATAAAAAAGGATGTATACTCACAAACCAACGTCATTATAGGCAGTATGAGTGATCCACAAAAACAGTCACAATACAACTGTGTCTAATAATGCGGATAAGCTGACGCGTTTCGGGTGCTGAACCCCCTTCCTCAGAGGGTTGTGAGTATACATCCCTTTTTTTATTTAATAAATTACATGGTATACCACGGTAATGCACGATGAGAGTGCGTCCTTACAGAGTCTCTTCTGTGTTAAAAGCCTACCTGCCAGCAATGGTTCATTGTTTGGCTTTAAATACAGAAATTTATAGACAGAACACTAAAAGGAGGATACTTCTATCAATGCTGGTAACTTTCATGCTCATACCATTGTAAAAAAAAAAAAAAAAAAAAAAAACACTAAAATGTGAAGGACAGTCTGCCTACATGCTGAGGATCAAGGGCAGCTTTGCTTCTATCACTTAGAAAACAAGGTCTCATCAACATCAACTGTCAATGTCCAAGGATAACCCTAGAAGTACATTTAGCAGCTCAAGGGGAAATTATTCCCTCCCATCCTAACAATCACAAGCATATGAATCAGATAATTCTGGTTACATGGTGCATATAAAGGAGGAATGCTACAAACTAGAGCATAAAAAAATAAAATAAAAAAAAAAAAAAAAAGGAATTCAGAACACAAAGCTCTTCTGCTTCTCAGTCCTGAAAGCTGTCCTGCTGTAGGGAAGCCATGCCAACAAACTGAATATTGTCCCAGTTGGCACACCACACCAAAGCACGAAGTGTTTGTGCTGTGCTAAAACGTGAGGGCACTGCAATGTCCGAGTGTCTACACTGCTGTATTCATTTGGCTCTCCAACATTCTCTTCATTAAATATAATGTAAAATATTTTTTGCTCAATGTCATTTTGTAATTTTGAACATTTAGGTCTCAGGCTTTCTCCTGTACAGTGTGTTTTTGTGCACTCATGTATCAATGCATAGCTACCTAAAGCCATCCGCAATCATTTATATCTATGGGGGCTGTACACAGCACCAGGAACTCCCAAAGACAAAAATATGCTAGTTTGTGGTGTACTGGAAAAAGCATTAATGTGCATTTTTATACACACTTTTATATATTTCATTTTAACAAAGCAAAAGCTGGAAGTTTATATAACTCCTAGCCCAGGGGTCTGCAACCTTTAAGACATAAAGAGCCACTTGGACCCGTTTCCGAGAGGGAAAATAAGACTGGGAGCCGCAAAACCATTGCAACATTTAAAACAAATCCGACACTGCATATATTGCAAAAAGCGCTCTGGTCATGAAGGGGGTTTAAGGGCCCAGTAAGCAAAGGGTTAATCAGGGCCACAGTGTATCATCATAATCACAATCATAGCCTTAGGTCAGTGGTGGGCAACCTTTTTTTTCAACTGAGCCAAATCTCGCCAAAACCACGATTAAAATTTATTTTGAGAGCCACATTTTTAAAACTGAAAATACATCCCCCATAGTAATTCATCCCCCCTATAGTAATTCATCCCCCCTATAGTAATTCATTCCCATATTTGTGTCAATTCACTTACCTGTACTCCGCGCGTTCCTCTCGCCGTGTTCCCGCGCAGTTCTGGTCTTCAGGGCGGACTGTGAGAGGAGAGGAGTTCGTCACGCTGCCCCGCCTACATCCTGACAGCCAGCAATGGTTGCCACGCTCCGCGGGCCGGATTATAGGTCCGCCGGGCCGTAGTTTGCCCATTGCTAGGCTAGCTGCAGAGTCCTGACTTTTGGGGCGGCCGCCCGAGAGGAGGGAGGGGAGCGGGCGCCCGGCACACAGAAGAGCTGCATTAACCTCCCTGGCGGTATGATTCCTTCCGATTTTTTGTGCTGAAAGCGGTACCATTTTTTTCGCATGGAAATAGTTTTTTATTGTAGGCTGTAATTTTTAGGAAAATTTCCCCACCAATCATTATCACTCAATTCTGCAAGTGGTTCTGATTTACTATCGCTGTTCTCTAGCCGGTCTAAAACCGCTTTTGACCTAAAGGGACGCTTTTTGGACGCCATGGACTTTTCTAAGTTTCCAGGCAGAAAGAACAGACAAAATGCAGGCAGGGCGCCGGACAAAGCACTAGGGACAATATGTATGTGAAATGGGATGAAACAGCAATGTTTTACTATTGAAAATTGAAAAAAAAAAAAAAAAAAAAAAAAAAAAGACATTTTTTAAATTTTTTAAATTTCCCGCCGCCGGCGGCGCCCGTACGTCCCGACGTCACAGGGACCGGAACACAGAAGCCAGATGCCGGCATCGGCCGGAGGAGATGGCCGGGGACGCTGCAGGGGACACATCGCGGGAACGAAGGACAAGGTAAGTGCTGCAGGGACCCCCAGAGCAGCGCCGCATGGTAAGCCTGAGTGTAGCTCGTGGTATAGAAATTCTACCACGAGCTACACTCGGGAAAACCGCCAGGGAGGTTAAAAGAGCCGCGGCTTGCCGACCACTGAGCTACGGCAACCCTATTGCCTGTCACCTGGTGGGCAGTGTGCTCCGGAGCCGCAGCAAAGGTGAAAAAGAGCCGCATGCGGCTCTGGAGCCGCGGGTTGCCGACACCCGTCCTAGCCAAAGGGGAGTAATGATTTATGCATTCAGTTCTTTCCTTTCAAAGTCCTATTTTTACCTATCACACGTTTACATCAGGAAACATGGTAAAATATGAATAGTTGTAGAAAAGATCACAACAGCAGACTGCATCACATACAGTAATTTATATTCCAAACAAATAATTTAGCACTTTACAGATTTTTACAGTATCAATCACATCAGTTGCTACCCCAGAAAGTAGAGCTTACAATCTAGGTCGTCTGTTACTTCCAATTTCTTTTCGTGGGGGGGGGGGGGACTGAACTTCAACCACTCAGGGAAAAACCATGCAACAAGCATAAACAGACATACAAAGTCCATGTGGACAGTGTCCTTGGTGGAGACAGGAGTCAGGACTGCAGACCTGAAAAGGCACAGGCAGAATTTGTACACTGAGCAACCACAGAACAGATCCCTTATACATTGCAAAATGCTGTGGAGAAAGCTATAGGATCAGCTGGCTTTTCATTGCAAAACAATACGTATGTTCACTGATCAAATCCAACCAAGGTTGCTGCAAAAAAGACAGGACTCCAACCACGCAAAACAAAGAAAATAACAGATATCAATAGTAAGCAGAAGAGGTATGTTGGCCTGTGTGACAAAGTCATACAATTTATATAGGTCCATATGTTGGCCCTCCATTTAGCCCATTTTCTTATCCAAAGCAGCTAATAGACAGGAATGCCAAGAAGGAAACCACTATGGGTGACTGCAACACTGCTGGAGACTGAACAGTTAAAGCGCTCCAAGGTGATTATTTTTCTCAGCAACTGGGCCACGGGCAAAACAATCTAAAGCAGGGGTCTCCAAACTTTTTAAACAAAAGGGCCTGTGTAACGTCCTTCAGACGTTTTATGGGCTGGACTGTGGCCAGCAGAAGTAGAAAATACCCCAGAATCAGTGGGAGTAGACAATGCCTCAGGCTTAGTGGTCAGTGAAAGAGCAAAAAAAAAAAAAAAAAGAAGACAGTGCCTGTGGCCAGTAGGAGGAATATTGCCCAATTGTTGGTGTCAGTTGCAGGTATTATGCACTACTGTTGGTCAGTGGAAGGATTGGTGCCTCATCATTGGTGTCAGTTGGAAGAATAGTGCCTGTATCAGTGGTAGAAAGTGCTCAGAGGGCTGGAAAAAGGCAAGCAAAAGGCCGCATCTGGCCTATAGGCCGCAGTTTGGAGACCACTTATCTAAAGTAGGGATGCACTGAAATATCGGTGGCCGAAACATTTCAGCCAAAAACACCCCTATTGGTGGCCGATATAAAAATAAGCAGGTGCCGAAAATAAACCCGCCGCCATCGCTCGGTGGTTCTCAACCTTACCTGAGACACCACTGAACGATCCCGGCGCTGGGCATAGAGATAAGCGGAGGAAACATGGTCTTCACTCATCTCTACGCACTTGGAGAACCGGAGCAATGTCACTTCTGATGTTGGACATTTTTTTTTTTTAAAGCGCTAGATGCTTTTTTTTTTATCTAGTGCTTTACATTGTAGAGTAGAGATGGGGGGTCTTATTGACCCCATATCTCTCCATAAAGACCTGTCATTATTTCTATAGATCCATTATCTCCTGCGCTCAAAGACTCAGATCAAACGGGCGTTAGTAACAAGTAG